CCAGTAATCATTGCCCACAAGGTTTTTGTTCAGAGCTGTGCTCTGATTGGAGTAGGGGACTCCTCTAATGCAATGAAGATACTAAGTGAAAATGGCAGAATGTGAGGGACCAAGAAGCCAACTTTCTGAAGATCAGGCCTCTGCTTCATGTAAATTCACCTTTAAAGTCAACAATCAACTGATTAACAAGCACTTACTAGTGAAATGCCTGTGGTGGGCCAGGTCTTACACTGTCAAAGAGTTCAGGATAAGGAACAGTATGATGGGTGGGAGAAGGCAGCATCGGAGAGGAGCCTGGAAGACTCTGCCTCCCTCTCTTCCTTCCTAAGTTTCCTGACTGTGTCTAGCCTAAAATCCCACCTTCTGCTGGAGGCCTTTTCCCTCCTTCTTTTACCCTCTTCTCCCACATCCAGCTGTTCCCTTGCCTCTAAGGCTGCCTTCCATCTGCTCTGTTTATGTCTTTCATGTAAGCAGTTACTTGTCATCCTCTCCCCCATTAGAATGTGAGCCCCTTGAGGACAGGGGCTGTTTCTGCCATTGTATATCCCCAGTGCTTAGCAAAGTGACTGGTACACAGTAAGGGCTTAATAAATCCTTGTTTGCTAAGTGACCCACTGGATGTTATCCCCAAGGTACCTCTGGTTCCAAGCAGAGGATGAAAATGAGGATCAGCCTGAGGTGGAATGATTTCTTCATGAGTCTTTAGAAAGTGAATGTTGCACAGATGATGGTATTCATGTATGTTTTTGTTTTATGTGTGAAACATTGTCAGCCCTTCTTTTGCACATCTCCTCCTTCCATCCATAGGCCCCTAAAAGATAGGATGGGCTCTGCAGTTTAGGGAACTGAGCTCCCATTTGGTTCCCTCAAAGCTCCTTGCCCCACCACCAGTATTCATACAAGAGGAGTAGCCTTGTATGGAGACTAGCCAGAGCTCCAGATAAATTTCATCTTCTGGTCCAGATCATCATCCTTGATGTAGATCATGGAAGGAAGACCCTAGGTTTGTAAAGGGTCAACATTTATCTAGCCTTTCCCACTTGCAAAGGGCTTTCCTCACAACTGCCTTCTCTGGTCCCAGGAAAGTCTTCATGCTCCCATTTTAAAGAAGAGAAAACCAAGACTCAAAAGCTAGTTATGTCCTTCATCATGACCCCATGGACTGCAGCACACCAGGCCCTTCTATCCTTCATTATCTCTCAAAGTCTGTCCAAATTCATGTTCATTGTTTCCATAACACTATCTCTCCATCTCATACTAAGCCTTCCCCTTTTCCTTTTGCCTTCAATCTCTCCAACATCAAAGTCTTTTCCAGTGGGTCCTATCTTCTCATTTTGTGTCCAAAGTATTTAAGCTGCAGCTTCAGTATTTGACTTTCTAATGAATTAATATCTTTAAGTATTGACTGATTTGCTCTCCTTGCTGTGTTCAGCCTGGTGAGTGATGTTATGACTGGCTGTGACTGGCATTCCTCTCCTTTCCTATATACCAGGAGATGTCCCAAAGAATCATTTTCCTAACAATAAAGTTGAAGCATTGCCACACTCCCCAATGATTTTTTTTCAAGAAAAATGAGGGATGAACATTTTAGAATCAACAACAACAACAATAATAAATAATAATAATATTTGATTGGCTGACAATGTTTATACATTGGATTGCAGTAGAGCATGTGTTTATTCTAGATTTCTACAAATTTGTTATTTAATGGCACAAAAATCTTTTTGGTCCCACTAAATATTATTAATGACAATATTTTAGGAAGAAAAGTGTAATTAAATTGTGCTTCATTGCTTTTCTTTTAAAAAAACATTCATTTTTTAAAATTCTGAATTTAATAAGCACTGTGGCTTCACAAAGGCTCCTGTTTTCTCACAGCCTCACCAACAATTGTCATTTTCTTTTTAGTCCTGATCCATGTCAGGTGGAACCTCAGAGTTGCTTCACTGTTCATTTTTAAAATTCTTACTGATGGAGCATTTTGTCCCCCTTGTGCTGCGGGTCACATTGTTTATTTTTCCTTTGAGAAATGCCTGTACATATCCTTTGACTATCTACTGGGAGAAGTAACATTTAAGCAGTTGTTTACATTTTTTCAGGTGAAAAATCAAGTTCCTCTCACTTGTCTTCATTGAATGTTAGAAATATACTACGCATATATATCTGCACATAAGTCTTCAAGCACTTACTTTTCGGACACTTTCTGTTCATTTTGTATATACTTATTTATATATATGTTGTTTTCCCCACATTCACTCCTTAAGGGCAGGAGGTATTTTGGAGGCTAACCCTAATCCTAATTTTTTTTTTTTGTTTCCCTAGTACTTAGCACAGTGCCTGCTACATAGTAGTAAACACTTAACAAATGCTTGTGGACTGATCAATACACTAGAGGATGCAATAAGCTAGAGGGGCATCATTTATCTGGAAGGTTGTTGAGGTTCTAGTTCTTTTAGGAACATAGAATCATAAATCCAGAACTGGAAAAGCTCTCACAAGCCAGTTAGTATAGTTCCCCGATTTTGCAGATGAGAAAATGGAGGTGCTCTATCATCTTGCTCAAGGTCCCGCACTAGGTAATGGGCCAAACTGGGATTTGAACCCAGGTATACACAGCATCACTCTCCCAACCTCAGTCAGTCTCTCTAGGTAGGGGGAAGGTCACTGTGGTCCTTTCTTCATTTCTTACCAATAGTAAAATTGGGACAGCTGACTATACATTTTTACTTGTGGTCTCCAAATCCAGAACAGTGCCTGGCTGATGTGAGTGATGTTTAATCAATGCTTATGATTGATTGCTATATTACAAACAGTTGCCAATCTACATTGGTAGAGGGATCCCCTCTCAATGAAAGAAGAAGTTTCCCACATGGATAAAATCCCAAGTCTGGACAGAAAAAAAAAGATGGCTGCTAACCAGATGGCACTTAACCAGAATATTCCATTACTTGACTCTCCCTGGGTCATACAGGATTCCCTTTATGTATCATGTTGTTTAAAATTTCACCTCAGTCCCTCCTTCAGAGCAGGCTAGTCATCCTTTTAAAAATTAATGAATAATTGAATTTCTCACTTTGGCATTTTATGATTCATTGTAATTTCTAGGAATTTCTAGGCCCTTTGTCATCTTTGAACTGAGATGAGATTTATCTCCATCTGGTATCCCTTCTTCATGTGAGGATGGAGGGATGACAATATTTCACTGAAACTTGGAGAGGGAGGGGCTGTACTTTGTTCCTCTCGTTGTGTAGTCACTTGGTGAAGAGTTTCAGGAATGGGGCAGGAGTTAGATAATTCTACAGGAACCAGGATATACATAGCTATTCTCTTGACAATATTTTACCATTAGCAGCAGCAGCAGCAGCCAGGCCAATATCGAAAGAGGTCAAAGGTAGAATGTAAGCTTCTTGAGGGTAGGGACTCTGTGTGTGTGTTTGTGCCTGACACAGTAGCAGATGTTTAATACATATTAATTGAATTGAATTGAATGACAGCTCTGGGAACAACAGACGCCTTATCAGTTCTCACTAGATTGGGTTGGGTCATTGGAGCCATGATTCACTGTTTTTAATTCCCTGGGGAAGAGGGCACTTGGAAGAGCTTGGGGGAAACTAGCTAGGTCCAAACTGAAAATGAAATGTTGAGATGCCTTTTCACTTCTTCCTGAAGCAAATCATCAAGAATCCCAAAGAAGGTATCTAAGCATCCCCCCTCCCTCTTTTTTTTTATGGCTATCTTTTGCTTTGCACAAATTATATTTCCTAATAAACATCCAAACAGCTCCCCTACATGAAGCACATTCCCCCAAACAGTTCTGCTAAACTGCCAGATAGAGCCAGTGCGGTCAAGAACATGCCCCACTTTTCACTTTTGAAGTTGACCAGTGGTTCACAGAAAGGAAGGGTGCAGGCCAGGGGTGGGGAACCTGCAGCCTCAAGGCCACATGTGGCCCTCTAGGTTCTTAGCCTTTTGACTGAGTCCAAACATTACAGAACAAATCGTTTTATTAAGGGGATTTGTTCTGTGAAGTTTGGATTCACTCAAAAGGCTGCACTTGAGGACCTGGAGGGTCACATGGGGCCTCAAGGCTGCAGGCTCCCCTCTTGTGGTGTAGGAAAAATTTTGGCAGTAAGGTGCCAACCTTGTCCATTATATTTGACCTCAATTCTGTTGTCTCTTTCTGGGGTCTTTTCTACTCTGTGTGGAACATTTCTATTTCCCCTGGTAGTGTAAGCAACTTGAGCTTACAATTGATTCTTTGTTATCCCTGGCACATACTAGAAGCAATAATAAAGCTTTCAATCAATTCATTCATTACATTGTTGCAGCCATGTCTAGCAATTGTTTAAGCTGTTTTTTTCTTCTCATGGTCACTTTATAAAGGTCTGAGCAGATTTCTTCAGATTCTTCATGTTTCTCACTCCTTAATAGACCATAGTACATTCATGCATTCTCCCAACCCAAAGTTGTGAACAGTAGTAAATGTCAGAGGTAGGACTGGAAGGACTTGGATTCAAATTCCACCATTCCTCCCTCCTATTCAAATGCCACCCGTGATTCTTAGTACCTGAGTGAGACTTTTGGGGGGTCACTTTACAGCCATAGTTCTCAGTTTCCTCATTTGTAAAATGAAGGATTGGATTAGATAACCCCTGAGTCTCCTCAGGTTCTCAATTTATGGTTCTGTGATATTTGTGCACAAAATGTTTTTTTCCAGCTTTTTTTTTATCACAAATAACACTTTTTCTTTCTTTCTTTTTTTTTTGTTTTTTTGCATAGTTGGATCGTTATTTGCTCTCAAACATCTCCTTGGAGTGTGGGATGGAGATAGTATCTATAATCCGGTAGAGGCATCCGAGGGTCAAAGAGTACGAACAATTTAGTAACTTTTCTTACATAATTACAAACGATTTTCCTGAACTGCTAACCCACTTACAAGCATTCAAACCAATGCACCAACACGCATTTAAGAAATTCAATTCAACACCAGATCCCACCATGTAGAAGGCACTATGCTAGGTCTGCAGATACATATGTATGTATGTATATTTAAAGAATGTCGTGGGGACTCTCAAGGGTCAGTACATTTCACGATGTCCCAACAGTAACACTCTCCTTTTTGAGTCCTATGCGACAGAATCTGTACCTGTAATTACCTGACTTTCACACACACAGTCTCAAAAGACTTAGTGTAGTTTAAGCTTAATATGGGGTTCCCCCGTACGGATTAGAAGCGATCTTCAACCCGAATGGCATTTCTAAAAACTAGGATGCTACTTACTCCCGTCACTGCTTCCCCCCTGCATTGGTTAGGAACCAATGAACAATGCATTTCACTTTTACGAAGCGCCTTTGCCCAGGTATAATGACAACCCTTATTTTGCCAAACGGTTGCCTGAGCCTTCATGCTCTAGCTGCAGAAGCCAAGGCCAGTTTGTGCTGTTGCCAGGTCCTGCGAGGTGGCTTTAAGCCCTGTCTCCATTCTCTTCAGAAGGGACCAGGGGCGGCATTCTTGAGCCTGGAGGAAGTGACTTCCACTCTGACAATTCACGTCCTTGCCCGAGCAAGGGAGTGAGCATTGGGACGGTTCCAGAGCTGTCTCTCCTACTCCACCTGAGTCCCAGCGAGGATGACATCCGCAGCCTAGGGGTTTCTCTCTGCTGCTCTCCAAAGTCGGACTCTGCAGCCTTCTTGCGCTTTCGCTAACGCCTGGAGACGCCTATGTAGTTTTCCTTGTAACCGCCTGTACCCAGCCAGTTCTGCTGGTGAGCTGCTGCGGGTGGTGTTGTAGCCGCGTCCTCTGGTCCTCATCTTGTCCCACTGTCAAGGAAAAGGCGGCGGAGAGGAGCAGGGGACTTGGTGAGGGAGCGGGTGTCCGAACCATCTATATCCTGGCGCAAGAGCCGCGCTAGGGAGAGAGAGAGAGAGGAGAGAGAGAGAGAGAGAGAGAGAGAGAGAGAGAGAGAAGGAGAAGGAGGAGGAGGAGGAGGAGGAGGAGGAGGAGGAGGAGGAGGAGGAGGAGGAGGAAAAAGAGGGAAAGAAGAAGGAGGGATCTGAGGGCAAGCCTAGGCAGATCTTTCTCTTCTGCAGAGCTGGCGGTGGCAGGCTGCGAGAAGTAGAGAGAGGAGGCGAGGTTAGAAGGACTAGCCGCGGTTCCTGCTTCAGTGCGATCGGAGAAGACAGACCCACGGCTCTGGAGGAGCCAACCCAAGTCAAGAGCCTGGAGCCTGGAGCCGCGATGTGGCCTAGACTGGCGCCATGTGCCTGCGTCCCCGCGGGCTGCGGGGCGCACCCAGGTAATTACTCCCCTGAGGCCAGGGAACCCCTGGACCCCCGCGCTGGGACTGCGGCCTCCAACTCCTCCTCCTCCCTTTCCCGCACCCGCGGCTTCCTCCATAATAGAGTGTCGCGCCGCCGGGATCTCTGCTGACAGAGCCCTTACTCTCGGAGAAGCGCGGCCCGTTTGGCCACCAGGTTTGGGTCAAATTCCAGACGACAGAAGAAGGAAAAGAAGAAGGAAAGAGGAGAGGAGATACGTTGGGGGTGGTCCAGCTTCTGATCTGGCTCCCTCGAGGAAGGAAGGAAATAACCTGCTCTGCTTTCCCCACCCCCTCCACAGTACCCCACCTTTTCTGGATTTCTGTCAGTTAGGTCCACCTTGCACTGCTGCACTCGTTGTCCAGCCCTGGAGCCCCTCTATCCCATTCCCGTGGCTAGTTAGGAATACATCTATCCATTCTCACTTTTGGCAGGCTTGAGCAATCCCAGGCAGCTGGAAAGCAGACGGGGTCGGGGGGGAGGGCGATGTTGCAAGAAATGGCCTGGGGGTAGTGGTGGGAAGTAACGGGTACAGTGAACCAAGTGTGAGTAAGAGCCCAGCTGAGGGCAGAGGGAGGCCCTGGGCGGTCAGGGCCTCGTGGTCGCCACTCCCCGGAGGGTTGCCTCTGGAATTCCCAGCAGCTAGCCAGACTGTCCCGGAAAAGCCAAGCGAACTCATTCCACCCAGGCTCGGTGACCCTGGTGGGACGTTGCGAGATGTAATCCAGTCCTTTCTTAACCATTCTAAGGGGGTGAAATGAGTTGGGGGGCTCGCTATGATCACAGATTTACAGAATCCCTCAATCTCAGAACTCAAGCCACGATTCGGTGTATCCCATCTCCTAGCAGAACTAAAGGCTCAGCGTCTCCGGCAGATGTGGTACAAATACCCATTCTTAACCTTTTCTTCCCTTCCCTTCCCTTTCCCCTCAGCCCCGCTGCTTTCTGCATTGCTGGCGGGGCAAAGAGAAACCCCTCAAATGGGATGCGCGCGTGTGTGCGATTGGTGTGATCTGCCTTAGATTTTAGACAGGTTTCCATGAAACTCTTACGAGCTGTCAGAAGCAGGGCTAAGCAGGTGGTGAGAGGAGCACGAAGGCGGGTCCGGAGTCTGTGACAACTGAGAAGGAGGCTGGGAAGTCTCTTGGCTGTGCAGACTTTAAAGACGGTGCTTGGCACGTGGTCACTTCATCAGAGGAAAAATACAAAACCCCCCCAAAAACCCAAACTCAGCAAATTAAAACAAATCGCCGCCTATCTTTAAGAAGAAACTAACAAATTCCTTGGGCACTTTCTTCTTTTCCGTTTCAGTTAGAAGGAGAGGTTGGTGCAGAGAAATGAGCCTGAGAGGTGGTCTCAGGGAATTTAAGGTTAAATCCTGGCTCTTTCGTTTGCTACTTCGATGCCTTAACTTTTCGGAACCTCCTTTATTTCCTTATCGGCCTAGATGGCCCTTTTTGCTAAGAATCCATAAGGTCATGGCCTCTGGCAAGTCACTCAATTGCACTGAGCCTTATGTAGAGTGTGTGTGTGTGTGTGTGTGTGTTGTGTGTGTGTGTGTGTGTGTGTGTGTAGTGGAGTCCTTGGGCAGTTTGGTGAAGCCTATGGGCCTTCTCAAAATAAAAACTAAAAAAAAAAGTTCCCAATTGTAGGAAATGTCCAATTTCACTTAGAAGTTAGTGATAATAAGAAAAGTACATTTTTTTCCATCCAAGTCACAGACATCCTGAAATCTATCCATAGTTGCCTTGGAGACCTATGGCCCACAGACTAAGAACCTTCTGATTAGATGATTTCTCAGCATCCTTCTCCTTCAGTGAGCACAATTGTTAAACCATAAGGCTATAGAAAAACTAACTAATAATGAACTTGTGTCCCAGAAGGGCTTCACATCTGGTGTCAGGGCCCACCAGGTGCTTTACTAGGCTGATGAACAAACTAGCACAGGTTTCCCATAAAAGCTCCCCCCTCTGCCATCAGCCTTCAGGGAGGTTCTGTGAGGTGTCAGAACTCTCCCATTCAGTACATAAAGCTGTCCATATGTGTTCCTTGCCCGAGGGTTCCAGATCAATTCACTGGAAGGTAAAGTTAATTCATCTGGCTGGGCCAGTTTCTCCATGACCAGACTGGCTGGATAGGGAGGGGTTAGCTCAAGCTGCCCACCATAAGCTGAAATCAGAAAACCTGGGTTTAAATCTTTGCTCTGTTGCCTACTACCTGTGCCACCTTGAGAAAGTCCCTTTTTTTTGGAGCCTCAGTTTCCCCATCTGTAGAATGAAGAGCTCTCCCCAGGTGACCTTTAAGGTCCCTTCTACCTTGAGGTCTATGGTCCCAGAAAGGTTAGGGTTGCTTCCTGTGTTCTGTGTCCTGTGTATTCGGTAATTCCTTTTCAAAGTTTCACTTTTCCTGCTTGGTGTCACCTCCCAAATGAAGGTAAATTTTCTTAAAATCAATCAATCAATCAATCAATCAATCAGCCTTTGTTAGCACCTATTATCTCGAGGGTATTGTGTTAGGTATTGGGAATGAAGAGACAAAGAATGAACTACTCTTGAATGGGACCTTTAGAAGGATGCCAATTCCAACCCCCTCAGTTCACAGATGAGGAAACTGAGGTCTTGCTCAAGGTCATACTAACAAAAAGAGCCAGAATTTGAACCCAGGTCATCCGACTCCATATTTTATTTGTGGCTCCTTTGGCTAATGTCCCTTTTCCATCTGGGGTCAGCTGAGTATCAGAGTGTCATATCTACCAATGTTGGTTCAGCAGGAAAGCATTAAGAGAGACACAATTTGCTGGTGTGGTTGGAAGTTTAACCACACACAGCCTCTCATTTTGGGCAGCGTCCTTTTCTTGCAAAGGAAATGTAGAAGTACGTGCATATGTGCTTTGGGAACATTATGCAACCTTCCCTGTGATTGGCTGGAGGATTCACTTGCTACCGCCAAACTCCCCTGGAAGCTTCTGCTTCAAATGGCAGATGAGCAATGCTCGACGTGCTTTTCCTAACCTGGTGGGATTCTTTTCTTTTCTTTTCTTTTCCTTCATGCTACAGATACCTTCTGACAGCAAGACAGCCCCAGTGTGAGATGGAGATAATGTCTTGAGAGTTCAGTGTATCTTTGTTGTCACCATGTCTATGAACACATCCAAGCAGTCACCTTCTCCTGCTGCAGGGGTCCTTACCAACACCACGTGCCAAACTGAAAACAGGCTCTCAGTCTTTTTCTCCATTGTCTTTATGACAGTAGGAATTCTCTCCAACAGCCTGGCCATTGCCATTCTCATGAAGGCATACCAGCGATTTAGGCAGAAGTCTAAGGCATCTTTCCTGCTCTTTGCCAGTGGCCTGGTGATCACTGACCTTTTTGGCCACCTCATCAATGGAGCCATAGCTGTGTTTGTCTATGCCTCCAACAAGGACTGGATTCGCTTTGATCAGTCGAATGTCCTATGTAGCATTTTTGGAATATGCATGGTATTCTTTGGGCTGTGCCCCCTTTTCCTGGGTAGTGTGATGGCAGTAGAGAGATGCATCGGAGTCACCAAACCCATATTCCACTCCACGAAGATGACATCCAAGCATGTGAAGATGATGCTGGCGGGTGTGTGCCTCTTTGCCATCTTCATTGCCGTGCTACCCATCCTGGGGCTCCGAGCCTATGAGATCCAAGCATCCCGGACCTGGTGTTTCTACAGAACTGAGCATATCCAAGACTGGGAAGACCGATTTTATATCTTGCTCTTTTCTTTTCTGGGGCTGTTAGCCCTGGGCATTTCATTCTTGTGCAATGCCATCACAGGAATCACGCTCCTGAGAGTCAAGTTCAAGAATCAGCAGCACCGACAAGGCAGATCTCATCATTTTGAAATGATCATTCAGCTCTTGGCCATCATGTGTGTCTCTTGTGTTTGCTGGAGCCCGTTTCTGGTAAGACCTACTGTTTGTGTCCATTTGTCCATGTTGGAGGCTGTGTTGGTTTGCTTTTCCACATTTGCTAGCTGTGATGGGAAATACAGTTTTGTCCATTCATTATTCCTGTAAATTGCTTGAAGCTTGTTATTTCAGCTGCCTATGCAGATTTGGGAAGCCAAACCACATAGGACAGTCGTGGTTATTTTCATTTATACCTTGAATGTGCTACAAAACAGTTCTAACCTGAACATCACCCTGGATGTGCTGAGGCTGCAACATGAGGTTTTGAAGCACCTTGGATTTAGCTGAATTTCTGACACATGTGATCTTATGATCACTGTTTAGGTTCTTTTTTTTTTTTATTCCTTTTATTATTCCTAGCACAATGCCTGGCTCAGTCAATGCTGAATAAGTGCTTTGAGTACTGGAAGAAATTAAGAATTGAGAGACTTCACTGAAAGTTGCATGAGCAAATCCACTTGTGTAGGAATCTCCTCCTAATTGTCTGATTCTAAGCATAGAATGACAGGGCCTCTACTTGCCAAGGCAAATGGGAAATTAAATAAAGTCTTGGGGTGAGGCAGGAGAATAAACAGCTTGTGTCTGACGTTTACAACAAATCAAGGCAGAAGCCAGGTTACCAGGGAAGGTGTGGTGATAGGGTCATAGATTTAGAGCTGGAAGGGCCCTTCAGTGTTGGGCAGTCCAACTCTGTCATGTTATAGACATGAAAACTGAGGTCTGGGATCCTAGAATTGGAGCTGGAAGACACATTCAAGGTCACAGAGTCCAACACCCATCATTTTGCAGATGCAGAAACTGAGGCCCATAAAGGTGAAATAGGTCCTGCCATCAGGAAGTGAGAGTCAGGGTTTGGACTCAGAATCCATCACCCTTTCTGTTTTATGATATGCATCTGTCCAGGATCAGTCTGGAAATTAGTGGCTACAGTAAAGTAGTCTTGGACTCACAGGGATAAAGGACACTGGGGAATAAGGGGATTTTCTGCCCTTTGTTATCCACCAAATTCTAGTAGAAGAGGGACTTGTCAGCCTAGTCCTTGGGTCCCTTGGTGGTCTGAAGCATCCTGTGACTACAGCCTTTTTAAGAAAAATAGCAATGTGGAATAAGTACATCCAATTCCAGAGGAACCAACCACAGTCAAAAGGAAGATGTGAATTTTTCCCATCCAAGTTCATGCACACCCAGAAATTAGCCTGGTAGGGGTTTGTGGACCCCAGCTCAGGAACTCTTGCCATCTGGCATTTTTCTGTTTTCTTTTGCCATATGCTGTAGTATTGGTGTAGCTTTTAATGTCTGAAGGGTGACAGCTGAGGTTGAATGTGATAAGTGGAGGTGTATATCTGGACAAAGACAGGCTCCTGTTTCCCTGAAGCTATGGGAATGCCTTATTCTAGCCAGAAAATAGCTCCCGTATTATGTGGTCTTTAGAAGCCTGCTTTCTCAAGAGCTCAGGCTCAGATTCAGGCCACCATAGTCATGGCTAGACTATTAAATTTGGAGTTGGGAAGAACTGAGTTTGAATCTTGCCCCAGACACTTGCTAGCTGTCTGACTCTACGTAAGTCCTCTTAACCACTCTGTGCCTCAGTTTCCTCATCTGTAAAATGGGGATAAAAATAACACCTGCCTCACAAGGTTGTTGTGAGGATCCAATGAAATGATATAATACATATTACATATAAATACATAAATTCTATGCATATACATACACATATACATTATATATGTATCTGTGCATTAACGTGCTATGTAAATGTTGGCTATTTTTATTTAGAAAATCCTTAATTAAAGGAGATGATGTATGCAAAACACTTTGCCAATCTTAGTTACAGGAACATTAGCTGAGAGGCAGTGTGGAAGGTAGCGGCTAGGAAGGCCAGCCTTGGGGTCAGGAAGACCAGGGTTCAAGTCCTTCCTGACATTCACTAGTTGAATGACTCTGGGCAAGTCACAACATTTCCCCTCACAGTTTTCTCAACTGTAAAATGGAGATAGTCATAGCACCTACCTTACAGCATTTTTATGAGGATAAGTTGAAGTTATCTCTATAAAAGTGCTAAACACAGTGTGGGCACAGAGTAGGTACTCAAAAATGTTCGTTGATTAAATGATTGGAGAGTGAGCTAGAATGTTGTTGTTCAGTTGTTTCTGTCATGTCTGACTCTCCATGACCCCATTTTTTTGGGGGGGGGGTTTCTTGGCAGAGATGCTGGAGTGGTTTCCCACCATTTCCTTTGCCAGGCTTCCTGGATTGCCATGCATGAGGCATGTGTTAGTCTGGGGTCTGGTGTCTGCTCTTTGGATGGAGGACAGGAGGAATCTTTAGGAATATACCTGAATTGCCACTGACTTAATAAAGATCAACTTTCCTTCTCATTGTGGAATGATTTTTAGGGATGTCAGAGTTTGCTTCATGGTGTAGTTGAAAGGGGGCTGGGTTTGGAGTCTGAACCACTCCCAGCAGGACTCTGGGCAGGTCTCTTATCCTTCAGAAGCCTAAAGGGGGAGGCCAGCAAAGTCTCCTCTGAATTTAAGCCTGCCTCCACTGAGCTCCCTAGGACTCAGTCTCTGTATCTGTAAGATGGAGCAGTTGGGCTGCCTGGCTTCTGAGGCCTCATTCAGTGCTACATGTAGGATCTGAATAGCTTTTCCCCTGAGGCAATGACATTTTCAGAAAAAAGGAGGTTTTCACAATGAATAAGTTAAATCACAAATGAAATTAATGTAGAACTCAGAAAAGGAAATATGGGTGGGGTGGGGGGAGAACTATGTCAATATTGTCCACAGCTTAAAAATAAAATTGTAGAAAACATCAACACAACAAACTGTCTTTGTTCGTTATATGAGCCCATTTGGATAACTGAGGCCTCAAGCCCAGCCTCTGTTTTCTGTTTGTTTTGAATTAGCTGGGTAATTGCCTTAACTTTCTACTTTGTCTGTTTAGACTATTTATTTTTACCCTCCACTAGAGGAATGAGAGGATTGTCACTTCTGTGTGATTCTAGAAATGAACAGAACTGAACAGGTTCACTGAAGTTGCCCCCTGCTCATTCCAGCGTCCCATTCTCCTTTTCTTTCCGAGTGTTTTGTTTGTTTTTAATTTGAAAGTTGAGACACTGGAATTCATTGTGTTTGTGGACAGCCTGTGACCGTATGAATAGTTCAATAACATCATCCTGTTTCGATGAAGCATTTGTTCCCATGACAATGGTCTCACTTCCATTTGAATTACTGAGAACTCCAATGAAGCTGCTTTATTCTGAACCTTTCTTTCTGGTGAACATACAGGCAGTCCCCTGGCCAGGCCAGAGCAAGTGCTGACTCACTGTTGATGGAGCTGCTCATCCTCCTGGTGGCTTCTCTGGATGAGATCTGGCTTCCTGTCAATTTTTACCCAGGGGAGTGTCTGCCTGAACTTGCTTGTAGTTTTGGTCAAGGTCAAGGTCATCAGGTCCTTCTGCCCTGCTCCTAGTCAGACCAAAGCTTGAGAATGCAAAACCAAAACAAAAATCCAACAACAGCCATACAGTTCCCAAAATAAAGTTTCCTGTGGAGAACTCTTTCCACATTTTTGGGGGGAGCATCTTGTAGGGAAAGGGGGTGGTGGTGCAAAGCAGTTGGTGAAGGAGACCCCAGTTCTTCTTCTGGGTTTGTGTTTTCAAAGCTTTTTAGAATCAGAGCATGAAAACACTCTGGGGCAAAGGACTCATGGGGAAGGGCCCTGCTGATGGAGTCTTTTAGCCAAAAAACGATCTTTTGGTCACCTTGTATTTTCTCCTGTTCTTCAAGTGCCTTGAAGTTTAATGTGTTGGAGAACCTTCTTCCCAGCAGGGCAGAGCTGTGTTCTCACCTTTGTTTATTCAAAAACATGTTTTATTGGGAACTTGATAAACACCAAATAAGATGGGTACTGCCACAGATAGAGTAGAACAATACAAATTCCGTGAATCTCTCTGATGTGCAGCTTGTTTTCAAAACATATGATATATTCCATATAACCTTCAAAGCTCTCCTGCTTATCTATGGTTCCTTCTGGCTTTTCTTTTGTTCTCTTTTCTACACTAAAAATAGGGCTCTTTCTTCCTTTCCCCCCCTTTTTCCCTCCCTCCCTCCCTCCCTCCCTTCCCCCTCCTCCCTCCTTCCTCCTCCTCCTCCTTCCTTCCTTCTTCCTTCCTTCCTTCCTTCCTTCCTTCCTTCCTCCTTCCTTTCCTTCCTTCCTTCCTTCCCTCCTTCCTTCACTCCTTCCCTCCCTCCTTCCTTCCCTCCTTCTTTTCTTTCTTTCTTCTTTCTTTCTTTCTTTCTTTCTTTCTTTCTTTCTTTCTTTCTTTCTTTCTTTCTTTCTTTCTTTCTTTTCTTCTTTCTTCTTTCTTCTTTCTTTCTTTCTTTCTCTCTTTCTCTCTCTCTCTCTCTCTCTCTTTCTCTCTCTCTCTCTCTTTCGCCAACCTCTCCCTGGCTTCTTTCTTCTCCCCACACCCTCCCCACAAGAAAAGAACAAAGTCCTTGTATACATATATATATATATATATATCTACTCCTCAACATACACAATGAAATTTTTATTAGCAAATATAGAAGATGTTTATAATAGCCCTACTGGATTTCCTTTGGTTACTATACAAATCATAGGGTCAAGGGGTTGGAGGTGAGAGAGACTACAGAAGTCATCTAGTTTGAGACTTTTGTTTTACAAATGGGGAAAATGGGGCCCAAAGCAGTGAAGTAATTTGTTTCAGTTCACACTGGGTAGAGCTAAGATTTGAGCTCAGATTTTCTGACTCTAAGCACGGTATTCTTTCTTTTAAAAATTATTTTATTTTGAACTTAATATGGCAGAATAGAGGAAAAAGATGATTGTCCATGAAACCACAAATCTATTATATACAACTTGCTATTCCTTTTAAATATATATTAAAGTCATCATGTAACTTTCTTCCCCCTCCCCCCTACCATGGCTACTATTAAACACAAATATGTGTATGTCTATAAAATCAT